CACTCTCCATTCTTTATTCTTTGCTTAGAATCTCCGATCGTTACTTCTGATTGCGAGTTAAGGGTACTTTGCTACCGTCCCAGTTTTGTAGACTGGGTGGAGTGTGCTAGCAAATCCACCAGGAGCAGTAGCCTAGCTCAAGCGATTCGGGAGTTCTGACAGCAAAAGCACAACTTCCTCTATGTTCGACACTTCTGAAATGTTGGTGAAACAAGAAAGGAACCTTGCGCTGAGAACCGCCGCCCAGTAATACTAGAATTAGTGAAGAAGGCAAACGTGGACAGCACAGTGGCAACGTGTTCAATTTGAAAGCAAAGCAAGACAAAGTCGGCTTTTTTCTGAGGTCGTTCGACCCACCTTGGGTAGATTGATTCTTATAAAAAATTGGCGACTCTCAGGCTAACAGCTCTTTCGGCTTCGTGTGTGTAGCACTATCCTCGTACCAGCTAAGGGCACCTTCTCTGAGCTCCTGAACAACGGTGCACCACAGAATATCAATGAGATCACATACGGAATAAGAAATGCTCCTGAAATTAGATTGTATATAAGCTTAGTGAAGAAAGCTCATAAAAAAAAAAGTTTATAGGAGAAAAGCAGCCCATAAAAATTTCGATTTTGTGGGCTGCTTTGTTTCGAATTCTGTTTGGGGACTCTTCAGTCCCTTTAGTCCAATATAGTATCCAGGGTTATATACAGGGTCAACCGTCCGGTGATCCAATTCCAAAAATTTATCGACCTTCTCCCCGTGGAAGTTCTAAAGGACTCCACCATAACCATCAGCTTTAGAAGAATCTCCCCACCCTCCAAAACTGCAGTCGAGCGGGGTGGGGGTAATAATGTCTGATAAAATAGCAGCAAATTCTAATTTCAATCACTTCATTTATTGTTCAAACTTTCCTATGCATTTCCGAGATCCCGTCGAAAAAAAAGACCCCTTCTACCATCACCCTCTTTTCAAAATTCTGACCAGCACTAACCCGAAATACGACACCTAAGGGAAAAACCTATCCCTTTTATTTCCCTTACCCTTTTATTTAGAGCTGCGTAACGCACCGTTGGCCCTGGCTACACCGACATCGGCCAATCCAAACAGCTCAAAGTGTGAGTGACTATAGCAATCCTGCATCCATAAGGACAAAACGTTTTGTCCTTCAACAAACTTTCTACCCTAAATTTTTACTATGAGGTTCTAGACAACCCGTTCGAGTGTCGCCTCGCTTTTTCAGCTGATCAGCTTGTCGCCGCATGCCAGGCGCGAGGTTTCCTCGTAACATTTTGACATTCGACACCCATGTAATCTGTTTGCGTCCTCATCTCCAACTCAGCTGTCCTCTGTTTTTAGCTCGCTTTGCGATTGAACCACCCAAGCAGCTTCGCAGGAGACGCTCCAATTACCGAACCACTGACAGCACCTACGCAGTAGAAATGACCAGCGCTATGTCGTTACTCCTGGAGAGCAGCAGCAGCTCCTAGCGACGCTCAGAAGTGCCGTAGGCTAATAATGGGATTTCTGGACTTACCTCTGTTACGGGATTCCAACAATTGTGCTCCTGTAGTCATTGGAATCTTGAATAGTTTGGAACCAAGTGGGCAACATAGGGTTCGATTCTTCGCCCTGTGGCCAAAGTTGAGCTTCTCAACAGGACAAAGTGCAACTCGCAGACAGGTGGGCTAGCTCTTTGATCATTGAACTTGCCCTAGGCTCTCTCGAAAAACCTATACTTTCAGCGCTAGAAGAATCCCCTGCACTTAGTTCTCATTCCTTAGAGAGCTCCGAGCAGGGTCACACAAACCTTGAAGACTTTCTTATATCCGCTTTAGTATGTAACAAACCGCTTAAAAAGGGCAGGGAAAGTTGATTGTCGGCTTCAGAGCTCGGAAAATCGGAAATTCAGCGTCAGACATATCCCGCCACATGGCCTTTCAATGACTAAACCCAACCCCTCAGCCCAGATCTCTCGACCAGCTTGTTGTCTGTGGTCACCGATCGCTGATTAATCAATGAGTAAGCACTTCGATGAATCAAATCGGCCAAACAATTTATTAAATTTTCTCATGCCTCCGCGGTAGATCTCTTCAATGATGTGGCGAGAGCCGTTACAACGAGCCACTTCTCGGTCTTACACTCGGGGAACAGCCGTCGGTCGACTTCCAACTGACTGGGTCACACCTTGAGCAGGCCTCCAGTGACGTTTTTTGAAATTGTCTCATGAGTGCTGCTGCAGAATGAGCAGTGGAACTCACATGGATCTACAAGGCCAGGCTATGCCACAAGGTATTGTGGAGCTTATAGGTTTAGCAAGCTGATCAGAAGTTTCTGCGGGTGAGTTCAACTTTGAATCTTCTGAGCTATGTCAAAATCGGGGATGTGAAAATAAGTCCCCTATGGGAAAATACAATGAACAGAAACCAATTGGAGTACCAGGAATCCATGGAAGAATTGAAAATCAGAGATATTGAACAACTCCGGTTCTTGCTATGATGACCCCCCGGCGCTATTTCCGGGATGTCAGGTCAATAGCAAGACCAAAGGTACAAATATGGCGCTAGATTGCTTTGGGAACCAGATCGTCTTCGATGGCGTCATCCCCTGAGTTGAGGAGTAAGCGCTATACGGCCGATGTCAGACTTTGCGAATCGCGCGATTCGCTAGCGTCCGTGGTCGCGTTGCGGTACCAACCAATTGAGTGATTCACTGGCCGCGACGCGACCACAGACGCTAGCGAATCGCGCGATTCGCAAAGTCTGACATCGGCCTTACCAGAAAGAGAATAAAGCCACTATGGAGAATTCCTCCAGGATCGTGAATGAAGCGTAGTGACGACAACGCTGCGTCTGCCGGCGCCGGCAAAGTGGTCCCTTTTAGGCCGAGTGAGCTATCAGGCTTGTCTGGGTTGGTACGAACGAGCAGACATGCTCATGGGCTTGCCGGCTACAATTCCTTGTATTAGCCAATTGAAATATCCCCAGGAATCTGAATGAAAGGTGAATTTGTCACAAATTCTCATCGTTGACATCTTCACAGATGCAATTTACCTCAATATTTTGTCACTATGGCCTCCCTTCAATTTCTGACATTCAAAAACCCCGACAATCTCTGCAGGGCAGAATTTGTCATCCTCTCACCAGAAACTGACAGCAGCAGTCGCAGTATTGTGGGCGCGCTGTCGTTGCGCAACTATGGTGTGGCGCCGGAGCACAACAAAGAATTAAGCACCATCTGGCGTTGCTGAGCTACTGGCGAGAAGCCAAGAATTCTTTCTGAATGGTTCCCTTGAACGGAGAAAACAATGAAGGCAGCATCATCACTACCTATGTCGGAAGAACCTCAACAACAGGCGGATGGCTGAATCGAGACTATTTTTGAGGTTATGCTGGCCTTTGACCGCGATAAAGTTCCTCCACATAGTCCAGAAGAAATACATATTCGGACACGATTACGTGCAGTACTAATCGACTACTGAAATCGAATGTTCTAGGACGTGGCCGTGAGGATAAGACCGCTCTTCTCTTGAATGCCGCCGTCATTGGATCTAGGCTCGATTGAACTTGGACGTCAAAAAACAGAACAAGCGTTCTAGGCCGGGTACTTTTTCTCGGGAAGAAAACCGCTACAATTTGAAGTGGTCCTAGTGAGTAGAAATTTCCCGAATTTTGCATAATTTTGCCATTGATATTCCTTGTTTACACTTTCTATCGTCGCTAAAGATCAGGAGACTACACTTTTTAATATTACCAGGTTTCCTCCCAGTGTCTCTTCTCTAGCTCTCGTCCTGCACTACACGTATTAGGCTTTTGGCTCGTTGTCTCTAATTGGCAATGCCCAGCGTCTGGGTATCCTATAATGATTAGATGATGGTTTGGTTATCCTTAGCTAGTTTTTTGACTTTTTTGACTTGTTGTGGAGTTTAATCTTTTTTATAATTTGAACTTTTGTCTTTGCCCACCATCTTGACGTGTTTGACGGCATGTCTTTTGACGTTCGAAGCAATAAACAATAAACAATAAACAATAATTTTAGTGCTACTCAGAAAGCTTACACTATAACAATATATAATACTTTGAATTCTGGATGCACGAAAACAGGAGTTTTTTTTGTCCAACGAGAACAGCTCAAATCGATCACTAATTGTACGATCAAAAGGGAATAGCTATACTCCAAGAACGACTCAAATATTTTCAACATGGTTGGGAGGGGGAGTGGCAAGTGGCGTTGCTTACCGTGCCCATGGATCGGTATTATCTCTCGAATCAAGTCCCTTCCATGCCACCTAATCACTCCGTCCCTCCTAGGTAGGTTGACTTGTATCTTCCCCATGCCCCTTTGATGTAGATAAAGATCTAGTTTTTATGTCGTCTAATCCCCGAAATTTTTCGTATAGTTCGAATCGGATGCCAATGTCACTACAATTTCTAATGGAAGTAGGATAAGTGGCGCATCCCCGAGAAAAGGTAGATTAGTACCGAAAGCTTCGCTTTTTGTTCCTAATTGTATTGAATGACCGACAAAAAAGTGGGCATTCCCTTGACTAGGGCTTTCGGTCTCAAAGGCGAAGAGCAACAATTGCAGAAAACATCGAGGCCAATTGTCTTGGTCTGTCTTACCTCCGCCATTCTGGTAACAAAGATAGGGAAATCGCCACACATTTCCAAGTCCAATCGCGTAACCAATACAGCTCATTATGAAATCCGCCCATGAACTCCATTGTTCACGCGGAGGCGTTGGCCGCGTCTCCATTCCGGTACGCCTATACGCTTTTGATTAACATAGAAAAACTACACTCCTGATATGAAACAAAAAGGTTACAGGCTCCGGGGGGGGTTTGGGGCGCAAGATCACGAATGACTAAGCGCCACATGAAAAAGCTGGCTGCACTAAAAATTCTTAGCCAGAAGAAGAAGTTGCTGACCTCGGTGATTTCCAAAATGATCATAAAAATCAGAATTATCAAAGAAATTCACCTTCAGAAGATCAGGAAAAAGAAATCGAGCAAAAAACGAAAAAAGTAGAAGAAGTGTGAAGGCTTCGAGCAATTCTTAGACAGTTTAGATTCAAAATTGATGATTAGCTGTAGTAACGGAAAAGCCGATGGTGGTGAAATTGGAACCAGGTCCTTCTGTGTATGCAAAAGCCTTCTGCATGAAAATTATCACGTGCTTTTTAAAAGTATTTGAAAAGTACAATTCAATTAGACAGGTTCTGGGAGTGCAGCTGACGCGAGGTTTTTCCGAGGGTCAAGCATGTCGCGGAATTCGCGAAGATGAGAGAGAAATCTTCCTTGGATTGTGTGGCTAAAGGCTCGTCTTATTAGCGTTCAGTTTGAACATCGGAGTCTTGGACGGTAACCTTACAAGGGAGCTCTTTTAGGACATGGAGCGCTTTTTTTGAAATGTTTTCTGCATGTTGTGGGGGCTCATGCGAAGGTACACAGAACCATGACCAATTTTTCCTGAACGTGAAAACAGTGGTGAAGAAACGGTCCAGAGTTCAATCCCCGGTGATGACTAATTTTTGCAATATAGTCCGGCGCGCCGGATTGCCGCCAATGCGCGCTGTAGTCCGAAGAATAGATGTCAATGTGCGTTTTGCCCCACAAATTTGCGGCAAACATAAATTGCAAAAATTTGTCATCACGGAGGATCGAACTTCGGACCATTTCTTCTCGCTGTTTTGACATGTTCTGGGGGCATTCAGGAAAAATGGACCATCCTTCTGTGCTCCTCACATGAGCCTTTACAGTATTCGGAAGACCATTTTGAAAAAAAACGCTCCATGTCCTGAAAGACCCCCCCCTTTTTGAGTGATTCGAGAAAAAGTGAATGGAAGAGGTCCTTGAATCAGCAGCTCATTTTAAAGGCTGCCCAATGTGCGGTGGGCTAGCTCGTAGAGATAAAGAAAACGTCGAACATACACAGAGAACCACAAACAGCAATCTTGAAGTGAGCTTTAGGAGGTCTTCTCACACGTAAAAAATGCCCATAAGATCGAATTCGAATCGGAAAACTATTCACGATTTTTCAAGAGCACAGCAATCAGCAGTGAAGAAATGATAGTTGTGGCGATCGATGCACGTGAGATGTCCTCTGACACTCAGCTAGCAAAAACTAACGAGGGCTAGCGCTAGTAATTTGTGAGGAAAAAAAGACTGCCATTTTTCTGCAAATCAGAGCAAACTCGGAACTGATCCCTTAGCTGCTAACAGCAGTAAACGACGCCTTCTAACACAATTTACGGCATTTCAAAAGAAAATCACTCTTACGCACAGCTGTGACCGCGTCTGCTCCGTCTGCTGCTGGGCCGCGGCGAGTCCAACCCCACTAACAGTTTTGGTGGGTCACTGCGTTCCTCATGTTGAGCAAAAAATTACGAAAAATCAACGTAGATGTGGGTAAATTTGAGGTGGAACATAATGCACCAGATAAACTGCGTCGCTTTCTTTGCTTCTGGATCATGAACGCTCCCCGTCGAATGTGGACTTTACATCTGTGTCTTTCTTTCTAGATAGAGGTGGCCTGGAGAAAATGGGCAAGGGAAGCCCTCTTCTCCTAGATTTTTCTTTTCCTGATTTTTCTTTTCTTGATTTTTTTTCTAGATTTTTCTTTTCTTGATTCTTCTCCTGGACAGAATTGACCTGAAAAATTGAACAAAAAGAGCCAAAATATTTAGATGGCCTTGTAATCAGGAGTGCCACAGCATCAGGACAACATCATGAGGTGAACCTCTTTCTATTTCCAAAAATCCAGTTCTTTTACGTGTATTTATTTCATTATGGCTTATTTAGTGGTGTATTTGCTTTATTTATTTATCAATTTCATTTATTTGTTGAATTTAGTTATCAATTTTAATTATTCCTTCATTTACTCACTCACTACTACTCACTTCGAACTTTATTGTGTGCAGCTAATATGTCTAGTTTTTGCTCTCCAAGTAAACGATTGTGAAGTTTCGCGAAATAGGATAAATTTTGATAATTTGAAATACCTGAAGATATTGTTGAAATACTTCAAGATAATTGTTTGTTCATAGGGGAATTTGTTCGGTCGAATTTTTCCGAGAAGCTTAATTTGATTTAGAATTCATTTGACTCTTATTTCCTGCACATTTTGCGATTATGTGAACGAAGTGCTATCGATCGGTCATCGGCTACCTTCAAAATCTCTTTAGAGATGAGCTCAAATTCCAAAGGTGATAAACAAGTTGTTTAATACAACTTTGAGGGCTCGTTACGGAGCTTTCACTAATCTCAATACATACTTGGCATAAATCCCAAAACAATATCCCAAAGCTCATTTTTCTCGACATTTCTCCCCAATTCGATCGATATTCTCTCATAATCCATTGAATTTCTTTTTCTCAAAAATAAGATACAGTTTGATGATTTGAAATACTTCAAGATAATTGTCACCATTGAGCTGTGAAAATTTCGAGCTCAGCGCTAAGGGCCGGAAAGAACGACGTATACTCTTTTCAAAAACGAGAGAGCGTCGGGTGCAGACCATACACCACAAGTGACGACGGCCTCCAAGTAAATCTGGTTAGTAGTGGTTCATAGTGATAGCTGATTTTTGGTAAATGATAGTTGTAATTAGTGAATACTGATATGCAACAGGCTATTCGCTTCATTAGCAGAAAATTTCACATTTTGTGGAATTCGTCGCCACTTGTGGTGCATAGTCTGCACCCGACGCTTTTCTCGTTTTTTGAAAGGGAGAGATGCCTGCAGTAATGTTCATGATCGATCACCGCAAACATGGTGTGATATGAAGGGAGCAGCGGTGTGAGGTCAGGCTTATGATGTCATGCTCTCCAGTCCATCATTATCAAGTACTGTTGTACTTGCGGACGGCTCATGATACCAACGTCATTCACTAGATTGTTCTCGAGACACCTCACCCAACTAGCGTTTGAAGGAGTGGGGGGGGGGGCTTTTTAGAAGTTTGATGTGGGACTGTCGCATTTTCAATGGCCTCTTTCGAATCGCGATACAAATTGCATGGCTTGATGTTATTAAATGTTTACCAACTGCGGAAATCTCAGCATCAGAATTCGTCGAGAGAGAGGAGAGCTAGCACGGAATCCAGGCTAAAAATAATCGCTAATCGATTTTTACTATTATCGCTAAGGAAGGTGTCAGAGTCCGCGATGCGTCGCGCGAGCCGCGCAAATCGCAGGTGACCGATTTGGACCGAATATGAAACAAGTGGAATCATTAACAATCGTCATTCAGCCATCACCATCAAGCGATGGTGGCGGGACTGGAGAGCACCATGCAGTATTGATCAGGGCACTTGTAATTTCTGTGGTCCGTCGCGCGATTCGCGCGATTTGCGCGACGGTTCGCGGAGTCTGGCACCAGCCTAATCGATTATTGATTCCATTATTCATCGATTATCGATTGTTTCTTCGCTAACTTCTTTGCGACTCCTTTTTCGTAGAGTTAGGTTCGGTATCCAGAAGAGCTCTAAGATAATCTCGCTAGTCGCTCTATTCTCCCTATCTAGTGCTAACCCACTGAGCTGCTAAAAGCTCAATGGACACACAAATGTGGCACAGTGAGCAAAGCGCCTACAACATGTATTCTCCACGTTCGATTCTTTGCTGGACAACTTGCTCCTGATATTCAAGCTTTTCATCACAATTCTGTGGATACAAAGAGCAAAAGCCTTGTTCACTCTTAGCAAGTAACATGCATGTAAGCAGATGGGTTTTTTTTCAATAAGGTTTCCCAAATTGAGTGAAAGACGAAATTCATGGCGCACATTCACGTGAAAACTTCCAGGCAATTTTCTTAGACAGCATGAGAATCACAGCTCAAAAGGGAAACCTGAAAATTAACCAGCAGTCTATCAGGTAAGAATTCGGTGGAGCCGAGTGATTAAGATTGATGTCCCAATTACACCCGCAACGTCAAATGATAGAGAGCTTCCTCAGCTTAATGAGTGGACTGATTCAGGGGAGGAGGATCAATTTCCGAAAGAAAAAACTAAAGTTGCTGTGCCAATTATGATTGCCAATTATGCAATATTCCGATTACCCGAATAAATATTTCTTTGGGTAAACCTGTTAAACAATTAAGTTCGAATAGCCAAGGTTACCGTAAGGTTAAGTTCAGAACTTCAAATGTCAAAGGACACGCGTATGATGAAGCTGAGCAAGAGTGAAAATAAAGGTTAAGAGTTCATAAACGCTTGGCGAAGACCGCTGGGCGCCTGCCCAATTCTGCTCCGCCCATTTCGCGTCTCTTGCGACCTCCGAACCTCTTCCACTACACAGCGGCACGAGTGATGCTGGAGAAGAACTAGCGAAAAACCCACCACTTTCATGGGAGATTTGCTCCAAGTGTGAGCCGGGGAAAAGTGTTAATTTACGATCTCCGGCTAATTGAACACAGGGTAGGCAGAAGACAAATGAGCCTTCTCCAAGGCTGGCTCGAGGAAAAATGTTCGCAACGGATCTTGCGGAAGGAGCACTCTGAAATATCAATTTGCAAACAAACCAAGTTCCAGTGCTTCAGAAAAGGGGTTGGGGTTTCCCGTCGAGTCGTCTTGAACCTATGGGAAAAAGTCCTGCTACCACCCACACACCGGGTCACCCATGGTGTTTGGCCGATTCGAAAAATTTCACAATCCCCTCCCTTCACACCACCTCTCACACCATGGGCACACTCCAACTCCCCCTCAAAATTCCCTCTCAAAATTTGTTTTTGCATTGTTAACTGCTGTTTTTGGACCGCACTTTCGGCCTTAAAGCGGAGGTGCCGGGTTCTAGTCCGCCTGGGGGCGGGAAGTTTCTGTTACACTCAGCATACTTGTGAAACTCGGCAAAAATGTGTTTTCTAAGGCGTGAAAATATTCTACAATTGCCTTATAACTCCACGCATTCCATGCACTTGTAATGAAAATTGTGGCAAATCTCTTCTTCCTCTTTAGCCCGTCAAGATCTCAAAAAAGCTCCTACCAACTCAACCCTTGCGAGTCCCCAGACCCTATCCCTCATTCGAATTTCACAGACTATTAACTTCGAATGCGGAGGAAGTTCATGGGTCTCCCTTCGCAAAGCATAGGCCGGCTCACGATCAGGCCAGTGACACCCGTGGAATGGTCGTCAACACAAGTCCTGAAAGACTCCTGCCACATAGACTCCACTCAGGTCACCTCCTTCACCACCTCCACCACTACCTTCACCACCTCCACCACCACTTACACCACCATGACTGTTTCCATAGTATTCACACTGCCATCACATGGCACAATCCACTCTGCCGCATTCCTACAAAACATTTCGAGGAGGGGGGGGGGTAAAGAGTGAGAAGGAGGGAGGTGGCTGCTATAACCAATAATTTCTACCACCCTCCGCGCATTTCAGCAGTTCGTCGTCCTTCTCGATAACATTCCTTCTCCCACCCCACAAATGTACACTTCCTCAAGATAGCAATCCCTAGGAATGTCACTAATACAACCGCCCACGTGTTGAGATTTTTCCAACAGACAGTCGACCCTAGTTGAGATCGAACCAACATACTCAGCTGACTTCCTCAACGCCATGGCCCACTCTGCTTTCACATGAACTGAGCGATGAAGGCAGAGGAGGAGAAGCGGGGGGGGGAGTGTGGCAGAGAGTGAGGCTTCCACCCCATTTCGAATAGCCCACCTCCTCCTTTGTTTCGGCACCCTTTTAGCGATGGAAAATCTTCCCGTTGGACCTTTGGGACTAAACTGTTGCCTCAGTCGTCGCGCTACAAATGAAAGCACATGCAGCACGTTCTAAGATGATCGACTGAGGTCAACTCCTTAGTGCATGTTAGGTTCCGAAAGCACTTAAAGGAATCTTGCGCGGAAAAATCATGATTCTATTTCAGCCATAAATCACTGGCTTGAGACTCATTATCCACGATAATAGTGAAAAGAACTGAAGTATTGCTTTCGTTTTGATTAGAAATTCGAAAACTCGAAAAGGCTGCTACGCGTTCGAATTGCCCACGGACGTCTTTCACGAATGCTGGCGACGGGGATGCTCAAACTTGGTTCTTGGAGTGCATTCACTAGAAGCTCTTTCTGGCCTTCTGCTTCGTTGCATTCACATCTTACACTTCTACTCCATCCTATTCCATCGATCGATTTGTCTCCACTCTCCGAAATCGCGCGCTTTAACCCGATTCTCTCATTGCGTCGCCTGGTACGTAGCCGGCCAAACGCCGTCTTCTTTCCATGCCTCGCCTGGCTCTGCCTCCTGGTCCTTCGATGGTCCATAACGTGTAGTTTTTGTACGTTTGTTTCTCTTCAGAAACCGAATCTTCATGCGTGAAACTTTGTGTGCTATTTCCAGTGATCACAACTGACATATTCATGTTAGGAAAGAGTGCAAGAATTTTCCGCGCAAGATTCCTTTAAAGTGCGGACAAGCTTTCTTGGTACAAGGAAAATCTAACACGCAATACGTATATTTAAAATTTGTATGTTAAAGGATTCCAGTACATGGGAACATACGTAATAACTTCGTATAGCTCTTTCATTATAAGAGATCTATACAAAGCACGAGTTCCATACTAATTTGTGGGTGGCGGTAGCTTTAACGGCAGCATTACCCCGAGGCTATGATTTGAGCTAATGGACGTGTGAAAGTTAAGCGGCGTCTTGGGCCACAACGCTAAGGCGGCCGCTTCATCTTTCAGCGACTCTATAGGGAAGAAGGGCAACATACCGCAGTAACCCCATAGGGTCCTCAAATGTTGTCTCAACACAGCGTCAGGGCCTTTTATATGTTGGTCCCCCAAAGGAAGGGGTGAATCTCACGGAGCACCTGGCGTCGTTGGAGCTCTTGTTCCCTCCTGAAGAAAAACATGGTGACACTTCCACTTCGCACTAGGAAATCGGCAGTTTCCTGAGACCATCATTTTCAACGAGAAAAAGGGATCGATTTTTCTCAAGATCTAATGAACATTGTCCACCATCAGCAACACCACCTGTCGTTGACGCCGTTTAATGAGGAACTCGACAACGGGCATATTGCTGAGGCGATGATGATGAAGATGTGTGAGCGTGTGTGCTTGTGTGATCTTCTCATAAAGACGGATGAGCCAGCCACTTGCCCTCCGGCTGCAGCAGCCGATTCGCCTCCGGAGCAATCTATGATTATTCAAGTAAGGGAGGGCTACAAGGAGCAAGTGTGGGAAACAAAAGGATAAAAGTGGTCGAAAACTGGGTCCATTGTTCGCGGGTTGAGCCACGCTCGTTGGTCTTTTAGACTGAGCTCGACTTGAAGGCAAACCCCGGTATTAGCCCCAACTAGTAGGAAAGATAACGCGAGGGAAACTGTAAGGTACCGTACCTACCATCAGATGTCGCAAAATTGCGCGGTTAGGGCGCTAATCCTTACGGGCCTGCAACCATCGACCCGTTCCAACGCTTCCCACCCACCGCGAGAGATGGTGAGATCAGCGTGCATTGATGTAGAGATCAGCGTGCTCTCTCAAACGACGTGCTCTCTCGCGTATTTTGTCGTACCACATCCAACCTTATCAAGGGTTAAGGCCTTAATTTCAGCGAATCTACAGATTCCCCTTGCTTTCTTCTCTTTTTCAGGCCGCTCCTCAGCTAAGCTATCATTAAGAGGCGCTCTTAGAACCAGTTAAATCCCGGGGTAAAGCAACATTCCAGCGCAAAGATGTAGTTTATCGCGTCCGAATATGAAAGCGGTAGTTTTGTGCTGGTTGGCCCATCAGTGATGAAAAACAGAGGGTTTTCAGAACACCTACAATTACACCATGCGCCGGTAGGAGGACTATGGACGGGCTTTGCGCCCCGACTCTGGTCGCATCTTGTTAATTAGCCGTTCTAATGGTATGGTAACGTAAAGAAGAATACGATAACGGAAATGGGCCAAAAATGAGAACCTTGTAAGTCACGCACAAAGGCGGGTTTTGTACTGCGGCTCACAAGGGTCTCATTGGCTCGTTCCGTTACCCTGTTCAAAGATTTGAATGCAGATCTTAATACCGACCTGCTCTAGGACAAAGTCTGGAGAAAAAATTGGGAGCGCAAGAAATAGGACAGTGCTCTCATACGATTCCGCACATATCCCTCCACCTATTTGTCACTCTGTTCATTCTCAGTCAATTACTCTGATGGCAACACAAGCTATATGGAAATAGAGGGACAGATTCGTCGATTATGCATACAATGAGGGCTTTAGCAGCGCCATCGCGCCTCTTTCACAAAGGCACAACACTAGCACTTCAGTAGCTTCGCTTCACGGAAACCCTCAAGCACCTACTCACCGAGCACAGCAACTATTGTTCGAGAAAGCGTCGTGCTCTTCAGAAATAATAGTGGCAGTGAATCACTATGAAAAACTTTTGAAGCCTGCCGAATGCCCTCCGAATTCCATTTTTTCTTCGAGGTTAGGGCAAAAGGGGGTGAAAGAACAACAGAACTTCATGAGACATAAGCTTGACACTTTTGGATCAAGTGGTGAGTAGGATGGGGGGTTATGAAGCGATCCGGAAAATGGTATCCTGTCCCACTGGTGAAGAGAATATCTATTTGGGGTAAACTTTATAGTTGAAGTGGGTAAAGAATCAGACCTCGGTATTCGTTCAGAATGCGCCCACTTCCGATTCAGTGAAAATGCAAAATGTAAATTGAACGTTATCCAGCGGATTTCTGAGGGGGCCAGTCGGCCCACCAAGTCAGCTCACTTTTTCTATGATGACTCAAATGTCAGATAGTCTCCGAAGCGATGGAACGTTTAAGTGGCCTGGGTATGATTTGATCTGGGATCCGATTCCCTGAACGATTGCGATATAGCGCTTGCCCTACCCCCTTCCTACCCGACTGAGGTCATCGTCTAGCAATTCTCAAGACCAGCAATTCTTCTATCCTAACCTGCCTAAAAGTAGTTGAGTAGATCTTTCTCGCGTAAAAAACATACGAGGATCAATTAGTTCCTGTAAGTTAGTGAGGGATCCTAGCCAGATTGGCTTTACTGAAAAGCATAAGCCAGCATGGCTGTTGTTGCCCTCTGGGCTGCTAAAGATTGTAATAAGGGGCATCTTGAAAATGAAGTAGATGCGCCACGCATTCTACTTCCATTTCAAGATGTGGTAGCACTTTCGAATACGACATTGCCGCACTTGCGGGGCCAGCCGGTACACACGTTCATCACCTTCGCCCAGACAATTTTGGCACTGAATAACGGCCTGAAAATATGCAAGTATGAGGTTTGAGCAGACATGATCACAGATTTGAGCAGGCTCGTTCGTTGTAAACGGCAACACCACGCACACTACACCAGTTTGCCTAGATTAGTGTGCTATTTTACAAAGAGTAGCCAAAAGCCGTAATTAGCTTTGACCTAACACTATGTGCCCCTTAAAGGCCCCTTAAAGCCAATACTGTGAAACACTTCAAAGGCTCTGAGTGATGTCGAATACGGGGCCCACACTGTATAGATGACCAATACCTGGTTTTGTCACTCGTCTTATTCTGTCAGAGATTATTCGAATTGCGGAAAATTAAAACTCGTCCTCTGCAGAGACTAACCTTCAGAGGTTCAATTTAGTCGTGAAGACTTCAACATGCAGCTGTGAGGTCAACGGCTGAACTTTCGACGTAAGTGGAATGGCTAAAACAACAGAACCTGAGCACTATGATACACCTAATCTGCACACGATCTGAAACTTCAGAAAGGACCTTCTCTGTCCATATCTTCCAAAAACACCACCTCAAAAAATGCCGCCCTACCGCGCCTTACGCGATCGCTTGCCTGAAGTTTCGAGAACAACCCTCACAAGATCCATCCTGACGAGAAACACTTTCAATGTATGTACGAGATGCTCCTCCAGAACAGCCTTACTTAGTAAAAACAAGTTATAAGCGTCGGTTGCAGCTAACAGAGCCCAGATTTCCCACAAGGCTTTTCTTTCCCAATGCTCGTTTGCTTTCGGCGTAAAGAAGCAGCTTTGAATGGAATAACAACACGCTCATCGTTAGTGAAAAAGTTCCTGAAATCCAAAATACAGGGTATGGAGAGGCTTGGATTTTCGAAAAATTTGTCAACATTTCGAAAAAATTTCTGATACATTACATTGATGGGGAAGAAGTGAGAGCCCGGTGCACTGGAATTCGCCTTCCTTGCCTCAATTTTCGCCAATTTTGTGGATCTCATGAGGTGTGTGTCATTATGTCCCACTCTTGGAGAGCGTATTCATCACTAGGATCAGAATTTACCGTATCGTATCACACACGTGTAGGCTAGGGTTGGCGAACTTAAAGGCAGAACTTACGATGAAAAGTTAGCTCATTAGAAATAAGGTAGAGGTGATAAGTGGAGCAGGGATGAAGAAGAAACCAATTAACGCTGAAAAGCAACCCATTTCAAATTAAGTTAGAGATGGTCAGTGATGCACGAAAGAAAAAAAACCAGGAAAACGGCCCAGAACCCGAGAAATGGGACCCCTTCCTTGCCCGTTGATTTGCGCATTGATGCGACTCTCATCGCTGTGCCCTCTTCAACACTACGCTCTCTCTGCTATCTAATCACTCGCCACGTAGACCTGCGGCGAGTGATTAGATAGTCGGTGGGCGTACCCCGCCAACCGCGCCAAGAGTGAGCCATGCTAGATCGCCGAGGTCAAATCTTTCGCTGCCAATTGCGCGTCGGTCAGCACCCTCAGGAGGTCCGCCTGTCTCCCAACTATGCAATTTTCCCCTTCTTTGACCTTCGTTCTTATCGTGAATTCCTCCTTT